AAAAAAGTTACAAAATTGATTTTAACTAGGGTCGCCCCAAGTCCAAATTGAAAATGTATTTCCTTCTTGTTTTAAGCACTAGAATATTTATGCAAAGTTTCAATCCATTTGGATAAACCCTCGAAGAAAAAAGTTACAAAATTGATTTTAACTAGGGTCGCCCCAAGTCCAAATTGAAAATGTTTTTCCTTCTTGTTTTAAGCACTAGAATATTTATGCAAAGTTTCAATCCATTTGGATAAACCCTGGAAGAAAAAAGTGACAAAATTGATTTTAACTAGGGTCGCCCCAAGTCCAAAATTGAAATTGTATTTCCTCCTTGGTTCTTTGCTCAAAAAAAATTTTGGATGTTTTATTTGTATTTGTTTTAAGCACTAGAATATTTATGCAAAGTTTCAATCTATTTGTATAAACCCTCGAAGAAAAAAGTGACAAAATTGATTTTGACTAGGGTCGCCCCTAGTAGGGTTTGGGGAATCTGTTAACAGAAAACAGAAAAACAGCTGCTTTTCGACAAAAATCTGTTAACAGAAAACAGGTCTCAAAAACAGATCTATTTTCTGTTTTTTATTTTTACATAAAATTCACAGAAAAAAAAATTTCTTAATTTTTTGAAGAACTTAATATATTTTTCTAGCATTTCAAATTGAAATGTATTTACTATTTTAATATTTTTTGGATGTTTAATAGGTTTGAAATCATTATCAAATTTATGGTTAATCATTATTAATTTTGCAATCGAAATTTTAAATTTGTTGAACCCTTTGTAGCATTTACTAAAGTTTAAAAATATAATCAACAATTTTACAAGATATTTTTTTATTCAGAAAGATTTTTTGAATATTTCAAATAAAATATTAGAGCTTATGGAACTTTTACAATGAAACAATGCAATGTTACTTAAAGGTATAAATTTTTTTGGATTTTTTTTTTTGCATTTTTATATTTCATTATATTTTTTAGAGTTAATTAACAAAAAAAAATAAGAAATAATAATGCTTAGCTTTAAAATGTATGCTTGACTGCTTATAACCACCAAAAAGTTTCATTATCTTAGAGAAACACTTAGGATAACTCACACTCATAAAAAAAAATTAACAATGCATTGTTACTTTGTATGAAAATTTTAACAATGTCATGATTAAAATAGCGTTGACCATGAAATTGTTAAATTTAACAATGACCATTGTAAAAAATTTTGTCAACAATGAAATTGTAAAATTTAACAATCATATAGTTAAAAAAAATTTCGAAGAAAAAATGGTCACCCATCCAAAAAGGAAATGAAATTTTGTTGCTTAACTTCCTATGTCGCCTGCTTAATCGTAATCGCATTTCTTAATTCTTTATCTGATTTGAAAGTGACAAAATAATTATTTAAATGAAAAGGTAAATTTTAAAAATAGTGAAAATGAATAAGATTTTAATTATAATTTTTGTCAAACATCAATAGAAAGTATTGAAAAGTAATTTAATTAACGAATATTAATTCAAGTACAACATTTTTTAATAAAAAATCAACTTTTTTAAATTTTTGTAATTCTTAAGTACACAGAAATAAAACTCACTTTTCATACTGAATTTTTATTTAATTATGATTATTCAAAACTAAAGTAAAGTTAAATTATTTAAAATTTAATATTAACGATGACCATTGTAAAATTAACAATCACCATCGTTACGTTACAATCTTATCGTTAATTGATTGTAAAAATAATTTTAACGATGAAATTGTTAACTTTTTTTTTCGTCATATAAATTTAACAATGTCATTGTTAAATCTGGTTTACAACGAAATAACAATGAAAAATGTTAAATTTTTTTTATGAGTGCAGTTTATTTTGAACTCTAGAAAAACAGGAAAACAGGTTTTTAAAAATCAAAAACTGAAAACAGACTGTTTTTCAAAACAGCTGTTTTCCACAAACCCTAGGCCCTAGTCCAAAATTGAAAATGTATTTCCTTCTTGGTTCTTCGCTCCAAAAAAATTTTTTTCATCCAAAGTTTAATTTAAAAAAAAAATCACAGTGAACTTTTAGTTTGAAAATTCGTAAGAAAGGAAAGTTTTTTGCTTTTTCTGAAGCAACGGCTGTTCCTACCTTGCCCCAAAACAATACAGCTCTTCTATAGAGCAGCACGGATCAAATGTAAAAAACTAGAACTCTCTACGATGTCTCGTTATTGAGATTTCTTGCTGATTAACTTGCTTGTTTGCTTGTTTGCTTGCTTGCAGAAAGCATATTTTGCGATTTTCTCAGCAATGCCGCAACCGATTTAAAATCTGTTTTTTGCAAAAGATGTGAAATTCAAGGCACAAACTTTTCATCTCTGAACATTTTAAGCTACCTTGCTCCATATCCTCACAAAATGCGAAAAACTGATTTTTCAATCTGAACAAAACCAATAGATTCACACGTGAAAACGGTGTGAATATAATAAGTTTTTGACTTAATATTCTACGACTTACACAAATCAATTTTTCTCAAAAACCTACCTTTTGATTTCTAATGTTTAAACAGTTTTGAAAACAGTATATCAAGGGCTATATTTCTGTATATTACCTGGAAATCGACCTGCTAAAATAGTTGCGGCACTTTTGAAGATATTTTTTTCATACATTTTCAACCATATCAGCACCAATATGTCATGAAAAAAACAGTTTTTTTGCTCTTTTTCAACTTCAAATAGTTCTAGAATCTCAAAAACAGCACGAAATGGTATGAAATTTGGCAAGCAAGTCTAATATAATGTCCTTTACAAGAAAAAAATCCTCCGAGAACCTAATTTGAAACAGTCCAATTTTCGAAGTGAATTAACATTTTTTTTCTAAATTTTGCCCCATAGTGAAATGCCAACATGAAATAAAACACTTGAGCGCACCTTTTTGCAAATTTATCCTTTAATAGTTTTGCAAGTATTATGCAGTATTATGATATTAAATATGCTCTTAAAATGTTGTTGCATGAACAATAATTATTGAGGGCGTAAGTATTACTTACGTTAATTGTGCTTCTTTGGATAATTAAGCAATGTTTTTGTTCGGGTAGATATGGATGAATTATCTTATCACTCTTAGCTATTCTTATGCCGTACATAACGCATCTCTGAGTCGGTTTAACTTTGCACAATTGAATCTCATTTACATATTCATTAATTTTTTGATCATCACTGCATTTGAGAGTGATTCTCTGTTTACTTAATCCCGTCTCATTCTGACCCGAAACCTTGACATGTATGCTAGCGATATCGCACAGCAATAAGCAACAAATGACGGCGCCAACAAATCTGAGAGAAGAAGAGTCAATAAAAGTAAAAGTGTTTTCCTCACGAATAATTAAGTGGCAAAATAAATGTATAAATGGTTCCGGAAGTAAATGGAAAAACAATCGTGCGTGTTTTCTACCTCGAAACCATAACTTCAACCCTTCTTGCTTCCCCACTAATTTATTTCTTTAACAAAATTATTAAAGTGAGTAAGTAGAAAGCCGTCTTAATCTTCCTAATGTTTCAACTGAGACTAATTCATTATACAAAAAATAATCAAATAATAAAAATATTGAATTAATTCATCTCTCATTCTCACTATCGCATCTCGTTATCATTAGTCTGCCTGGATTATAAAAATTCAGCCATAAAAACATCTCATGCTTGATTTCTGGGGTTTTAAAAATGTTTTGTTATTGTAATTTTCATATGAAAATTTTTTTTTTAAACTAATCTAATTTGCAGCATAAAATTCTAAATTTGTTATAACTCGTTGGATAGGTGATGAAATTTAAAGTATATCAATATTTAATAATTGGTTTTGTAAATAATTGAATTTTCAACATTTTTAAAGACTTGTCAAAATATACGGAAAATCTCCATTTATTCTTACATACAGGAAACTGCATGATTTTAGCTGTTCTAGATAAGTAATACTATGGGTCCTTGATTTGATTAGATTCGATTTTAGTAACGAACATTATTGAAACATAATTGAAATATTAAATTCGATTTGAACAGGATTTTTCTATAACAAAACACCTACTCAAATCGAGGACCTCCAGTATTAAAGTTTAAACTTGCATTTTTAATAAAAGTTTGGGGCTAGCAGAAATGATGTCAGAGGTCGAAATTTAAAGATCTGCTTCCTACAGATTTCAGATTTTTGATTTTAAAGCATTCGTCGCAAAATAATGAACATTTTATTAACCCCTGTTTTTTAGACATAAAATCGTTTTGTTTTTTGGAACCAGTCAGTTCATTTCAAACTTTAAAATGTGTTTTAATATATAGAGTTTATGATACGAAATTTTTTTGATACATATTATAAAGAATAACTCGTTACTTTAGAAGTGAATTAAAGAAAGAATAGGCACATCCACACTATTTATATCATTTTATAAAAAGAACTTAATTATTTATGGCCTACGAAAAAAAGAAAAGCTTTTTATTCGTTTTCAGTCTACACATTTCCCTTCCTCTTTCACAACAAATTAAAATGCATGTGACTTCCATCGTATAAGAATTTCCTCTTTTTATAGATTTACATTTTCTATTTTAAAATCATTTTCATCTTACTACTACTCAAGATCAACAAGAAATAAAATATCAAATGAAAAGAAAAAGAAAAACAATCCGAAGGAGAGAGGGAAATAAGAAGTATGCAAAGCGTGTCATATAATTTTACGATACTACTTCGCTGAATGAAACTAAAATCGATTGCGTTGCTATTTGCGTCATTGAAATTTTTTTTTATTTTTGGATTGTAAACTTTATAACGTTTTTGAAATGTTTGGATATTTATCAACACACTCACAGATTTGTGTGTGCACGTGTATGTGATATTTGTAATAAATTTCTTTAATTTAATTTAGCACTATTATTTTTGGCTATTACTATTTTCTTTAGCTTTCATATTCTTTAAATTAATTGAATGGAAAATAAAGGATTTTTTGGATGCTATAATTTTTTAAACTGTCATATTAAATTTGAATTGCTGACATTCGGTCAAATAACAACCTGTAAACAACTTTGTATCAGCGCTATAAATAAAATAAAATAAAAAAAGAAAAATTGTGAAAACGACACAGAGAAAGACACAAAAAATATTCAACTGCTGACACTGCCTGATTCAAATAAAGCAAATCATCAACTCGATTAAGGCGACATTTAAATTTTAGTTCCAATACTTATAAATTAACAAAAATCAATATAAAAATGAGAATAGCATCAAGAGTTTATAGTTTAATGATCAATTCAGTTGATCCACACGTTCCAAGTAAGCTCCGACCACTTTGGAATCACGCAGCAGGCCCAAAAACTGTATTCTTCTGGTCACCATGTAAGTTTTCTTCGAGAACATCATGATATATTAACGTGAACAATTTTATTTTTCTTCTATTTGATCTTGTTATTCTCATCGTTTTGTTGCTGTATGCTGCCTACCGCAGTTTTCAAATGGGTAAGAAAGAAATTACATTTTTGTTTTTTCAAGGTCAATGAAGCGATTGTGTAACGTATATTTTCACTATCGATACACACCTCCTTAAAACCTTGGCCTTTAAATTAGCTTCCGTCATTAGTAATGCAAATTCTCATTCAATTCTATTTTTAGGGACTTGTATTAGCTGGTGTGAAGGATATTACACGACCAGCTGATCAACTGTCAATTGGTCAATCTGCTTCACTTGCAGCTACCGGCTTAATTTGGTCACGATATTCATTAGTTATCATCCCGAAAAATTATGGGCTTTTTTCAGTCAATGTCTTTGTAGCTCTCACACAAATTTTTCAACTCTATAGAGCATACGCTTTCCAAAAAGCTATTAAGGAGAAGCCAGTCGAATCGAAGTAAAGCATCAATGAAGCAATTTAAATAATGTATAAACAGCACATACAGATATGCATCAACGTTTATGTGAAAATTGTAGAATTAAATTATTATTTTATCTTCTCTGATAAGATTTGTTAGGCTCAGTGAGCTCTTACCAAGTAAAAAATCTCGTTTGTTATGGTTTTTCTGTTCAACTATTGTTATGATCAAATATTTTATTTTTATTCTATTTTTTTCTGTTTCAAAAGTATATTAAAAGTTGTTTCCAAATGTATATTTTTAAGTTATTTTTCCTTCTTTTACTCTACTTATTAATATTAATGGATGCTCGATGGATTGTGGTGAAAGGAATATTTTAGTAAGGCTTTGAAATGAGAGTACGACTTTAGCATCCGTCGCATTAGGCATGTCAAATAACCAGATGATTTTGTTTCCATTTTATCGTGTGCTTCGTGCGATTTTTGTTAATCAGAGAAGTTCATTAATGATTACATAATTTCAATACTAAATGCCGAAGGACTGTATGAATTCATCGATCATTTGTCAGACTTTTTGACACATGTGTGTAATACATTTATTAATGTTGACCATAAATGATAAACTTTTTGCATTATCATCACCGCCAATGAACGAGCTTTCACGAGTTTTCGCAATCTCATCGTACGAATATATCGTTTACTAATAGTTGAGTTGAGAGATATTTTAAGCACCGCTTGAACTTATAATATCAAATCCTCATTCTCAGCGACTTGTGGCTACTCAAAAAGTACAATAGAAATTGTTTACGAATTACCAAAAGAAAAAATAAATAGTTCTATGAGGAACCGTTACATTTTTGTAATTAGCAAATATGTATATATACAAATAAACTCTGAAGTCTTTCATAGTAAATAAGGGGTTCTCCATTCACCACAAAGTGAAATTAAGCATTCATATCAAGATACAACTTATAAACGACCTCCCAATTTTTTTAAAACATCCCTCCTTTTAACATGATAACACAAAAAACCTTTTATTCACATGACAGAAGAATTTATTATTTTCAGGTATCGTCAAGTGTCTGCTTGGCAGCGAATCGCTAATGGTGTCAATGAACGATGTTCGCAAAGAAAATAGAAGAAATAAAAAAGAATTTTGATTCTGATACACAATTTTCTCTTTATTTGACTTACTTCGAGCTTTATAGATTAATGCGTACTTTATAAATAGAAGAAATTAGCGTAAAAATTAAATTTTGTCATGAGTATATCCATCAAAAGTTTTGTAAGATTAGCCAGTTACATATAAATTATGAAATAAGCATATTCATATTAATCATATTAGTTTTAAAATTCTGTTTCACTATGTTGATGTCATTCATTTATTAGCTACATGTTTTTTTTTTGAGAAATATTTTTTTAACAAGCTGCTTAGCATTTTCGGAAGTAACATTCATTAATCAGTGGTTTGCGGCTGATATTCGATCGGATTTTCGATGTTTAAAACCCTACAAACTTTTCTGTTTATCTCAGAACCAAAGTTTCATTTTAGAAATTTAAAATTTTGATTTATTAATAAATCGATCACAAAAGACATCCGCAACCTCGGTAAATAACAAAAAATTGGACTAAGTAAATTAGACACTTTCCAACAGAATAAAAAAGTTTAATGTAGATAAAAATGCTAAGAGGGAAGAGCTAATTATTAAGCTAATAATAATCAATTGATGCCTACATTGATGTGTGAATAAAAGCATCACAATAATAATAACAGAAACAGAAGCATGCTTACCCTTTAAGCATCAGCATAATATATGATTGATTTCCATAATAATTTATTTGTGTATATTTTATCAGTCACACATTAAAATAATAATGACTTTAAACTGTGAATGCGGGCATCATTTTGAGGCATTTACATAAAATTTTACAAATTTGTTGTCATTGAGTATGTCTATTTTTTTTATAGAAGACGTATATATTATTGGATTTGAACGCGGTACATAGCTTATCGATGTTACAACGCGATTCATGATCATCACTGATTTAGTTTTATTTTTTAAAGGAAGTGATTCACGTCAGCGATGGTCATATAAAGTCAAATAGATAAAATTACAATGTCTTTGGTGATTTAAAAGTATATATTATTATTTATAAATTAAGTCAACAAATAAAGGAAACCGAAAAGTCATTTTTATCTATTTTGTTTGTACGTTAATACTTCTTAACTCTTATTTCATTTCTTTTGAAGAAAAAAATGATTTTTTTTTAAATAATAATAACTGAAGATTTTCCAAAAGAAACGTTTTTAATAATAATGACAATTGAAGATGAGAACTAGAGCTCCAAAAAATAATAAGAAACAATGTAACAACATGAAATAAATTCAAAAAGATGTAGAACATCAAAATAAGTGTAAGAAATGGATTAAATGTCTAATGCGTAGCTAAACAAGACTGCGTTTTAACTTTCCATTATGTTTTTTTATTTTGTGTGTGCAGTTAAGCCAAAAATCTATGCATGAAAAACAGAAGCGTTAAGGCTATAAATAGGCAAAATGCATTTGACGAAAAATATCAATCTTCTAGTCCACTTGAAATGTACTATCTCGTTTAATGAAATGAAGACTTTCTGGTTCTATTAATAGGATGAAATGAATTGAAATTTGGGGGGAAGTAATTGATTGGACCATTTTATCGTGTATGAAATTTAATTACTTTAAGTTTGGAAATCAAATGGACTTATTCTGTTCTTTTGTTATCTCTGGCAGTTGTCATTGTTGTCACATGAATTGATTACGGATCTTATCGTTATCGTCTTATATATTTTTAATTATATCAAATTGATTATAAATTTTGCGAGTATAAAAAATTGATTGAAGCTTACGACACAGGACATGCCTAAATTTTGTTTTGTTTGTTCTGAATGACATAATTCTCGCATCGCATACATCACAATTTTTAATATTTTTTTTTTTTACCACAAAGCAGTTGAACGATGATGATGGTAAGTTGGCAAAGCTGCTCCTGATTTTCCAGTGTCTGCTGCTTCTGAGAACGAAACTTGTGCACCACCATCTGATGATTCTTGTGGCGCAGCTTCTTGTGGATCTGATGCTGCATCTGGAGCATTTTCAACCTTTGTAACCTTCTCGTTTGGATCGACTGTATTCATGCAGAAGTTTAAATTCGATGAATTTTGCTGGTCATATTTTGGTCGAGCATGAGGTTTGATTTCTTCTGGTGGACTGAAAATGTTGGAATGACCACCACCCTATATATGGAATAAAAAGAAAGAAAGTGGAAATGACATATTATGCGTAAACGTAAGTAATAATTTTCTATGTGGAAAATGTGAAATTAGATCATCAACACGTTTTTCACTCGACTTTTCCGTCTATTTTCACTTTTTTCATTCTTCATTTTTTTTCTATTATCGATTTTTTTGCACTGCGAAAATTTTCCCTATAATTTGCAAAAATTAATTGTACTTACTGGTGGTTTCAATACACGCGATGACGAGCGTTGATCATTAAGTCCAATGCAGTGTTCTGTTGACATGTTTAAACAAATTTTGTTTTATATCTTTTTTTTTGAGAGTCACAAATAATACGTTAATACGCTTTGAAATACGAAAGTATAGTGAGCAGAAATAAAAAGCTCAAATAAAATGTAAAGAATCAACTGAGCAACCTGAGCAAAAAGTTGAAAAAGTTTCTCAAGTTACAAAAGTGAGTAAAGTGCATACTCTACGATTATTACAAATTTTGTGTGAAAAGAAATTTTAGTTGTTACAACTGGTTACAACATCCTAGACTCTCCTAGAATCTCTCCATTAAAAAGCGAACGTAAAATAAATTACGTGAATGATAATCATTCATAGAACTTACAATTCTTACATTGCATGCAGAGTGTATAGTCATGAAAATTACTTCTCTGATGTTAATTAATTTCCAGACATTATGAAGTCAAATCACATGTAAACATGAAAAATATGATAAATGTGAGCAACGCCGGTTTTTAATTAACGATCTATAAATACTAGAAATTCAATCTTTTCATCAATAAAATATACAGGTAAATCCAATAAATATTTTTAAAAAAATTCATTAAGCTTTACCTGATCGGAAAAAAAACCGTTAAAAACTTTTGCATCTTTTTAAATGATGCACAAACTTTTGAAGCGGGAAATTAAAATTCGAAAATAACGAACTTTTTATAGAACACGTTTTCGATTTTGAATATTAACGGACTAATTATCGCTGTTTATCTATCGATTCGTTCAAAAAACAACTTTTGCTAGCAAGCTGGTATTTAAGAATCAACAAGTAAATTAAAAATCACAATCTTAAATGACAATAGACAAGTTAAATGCCTGAAACATTAATTAAGTAGAGGCATTATTACTTTTCATTATTACAGTAATTCTAAATCATGAACCATGAAAATGAAGTTGCACCTGCCTTTAAGAATTCGGTTTGTGAATTTTTAATTAAAAACTTGGGTGAAAGAAATATGAAAGTATATTCCCAAATGTTTGGAAAATGCTGCATGCTTGGATTAATATTTGCATTTTGCTTGAGCTGATGATATGATAGGAGAGAGATTATTTCAATTTGTAAATGGTTTCTTAACTATTTTTAAAAAAAAGATTCTATAGAACGAATAAGGGTGGGAGAGGGAAATTTCAAGGATCGTGTTTCAAAACTTTCAAATTATGACAATATTTTTTTTTAAATAATAATTTTTTGACTACTCTTATTGGATATCTTCCCAAATATAATATAAAAGTAACAGACAAGTAAATCAACAACAGTTGTTCATTAAATTTTAAGATTCTGACTTCAAATTCAGAGAAATTTGTCAATATCCGAAAGCGTTGGATTTGAAAGAATTAACGAGATATAGGTCCGTATTTTTAAAAGTTATCCAACTGCTAAATTCCCCATTAAATCAAATTCAATAAATATTTCGTTGCTTTGTTGCCTTCAAAAGTATTCAGCGACATAGTTTCTTGTCGATCTTTGTATAAGCAAATCTGTCAGCCTTAACTTGAATTCTCATTCAAAATTTAAATTTTTAGCTTTTTTCTTGCTGGCTGATCCTTCTTCGATCATCAATTTTTGAAATTTAATTTAAAGTTAAACGAATGGAGCATTCAACAGTCAGGATCATAAAAATACAAAACAGATATTAAAACTAGTAATGAAGCCGATCACGCTTCATGGGAATATTCACACAATCCTATAGAACTCTCTATGTATTGTTCAGAAAATCTTGAAAAATCTTCTCTCAATGAAATGTAAGACTTAATATCAACATTTTGCTGAACTTGAAAACAAGATCCAGTAAAGTTTTAATCATTTCTGCAACAAATTATCATGATTCAGCAAAGTTTTAAGCATGTCTGAAACTTGGAACCAAGATCCAGCAAAGTTTTAATCAAATCTGAAACAATAAACCTAGATCCAGTTAGGATTTAATCATGTCTGAGGTTTAAAAACAAGATCCAGTAAAGGTTTGATCATGTCTGAAGCAATAAACCAAGATCCAGTAAAGTTTTAATCATGTCTGAAGCTTGAAAACAAGATCTAGTAAAGGTTTAATCATGTCTGAAACAATAAACCTAGATCCAGTAAAGATTTAATCCTGTCTGAAGCTTGAAAGCAAGATCTAGTAAAGGTTTAATCATGTCTGAAACAATAAACCTAGATCCAGTAAAGATTTAATCATGTCTGAAGCTTGAAAACAAGATCCAGTAAAGGTTTAATCATATCTGAAACAATAAACCAAGATCCAGTTAAGTTTCAATCATGTCTGAAGCTTGAAAACAAGATCTAGTAAAGGTTTAATCATGTCTGAAACAATAAACCTAGATCCAGTAAAGATTTAATCATATCTGAAACAATAAACCAAGATCGAGTTAAGTTTTAATCATGTCTGCAACAAATTATTATAATTCAGTAAAGTTTTAAGCATGTCTGAAACTTGGAGCCAAGATCCAGTAAAGTTTTAAGCATGTCTAAAACTTGGAACAAAGATCTAGTAAAGTTTAAATCATGTCTGAAACTTAAAACCATGATCCATTAAAATTGGAGAAAAAGTTCTAAGTGGGCTTTGACAATTACAATTTCAATTTTATAATTAAGAAATAAGAAAAAGTTCTTAGTGAACTTTCAAATTTTGTTGAAAGTGAAAGATCATTGTGAAAAATTGGTTAAATAATTTAATTTGTCAAAAATTAAATCCAGTCAACTAAAATTGAAATTGAAATTGTGCTATCGTTGGAACCAAGATCCAGTAAGTATACAGCAAGAAAAAAACAATGCGAATGGAACCAAAAACATATTTCCATTATGATACAAGTAAAGTATGTATTCAATAACATAAATCCAGTAAGCTGAATCTTGTGAAGGAACTCGCTAGTTCCAACATTTTTTCACATACATTTAACTTAATGCATACTGTCACAACCATTTTATTAATATCAAACTACTACCAACAAATATTTCCGTTGTAAACAAAAAATAAATATGTTATGTAATAATCGGTTAAACTTTTCCCATACAAAAATGTTTATGCATCTTGTGCCTCACTGGAAGCATCTTATGACTCCAAAAACAATCCAGTTCTTGTGATAGCCATTATTTATCAGAAGCAAAAAACCGGTAATCTTAATATTGAGTTTGAATCGACATATCGCACCGATTAACTAACAGAATGCCTTTTTTTGGTGTGAAATATTAAGTCATTTTAAGAGCATTTTCAGTCTTCAGGCACTAAAGAAACCGGTCGGTTCCTCAAAAAAAATTTAAGAAGAATAATAGAAGAAATACAAACGTATACCTCTTTGGCAATGAAAACTTATCAAAAAAATGCTTTAAAAGGACTGGAAGTGACTAGTTCCTCATATGATGCTAGATCCATTCATACTTTATCATTTAGAGCTATACCAACATCTGCAAACTGCAATATCTAAACGCCAGAAAGGATATCCCTGATTAATGATTAATGTTTTTTAATAATCTTCTAAAAATTCCCAAACAAATTTTCACCTTCAAGTGATTTAAAATCCCAAAAAAAATCCCCATACAATGTGATTTAAATCATAAATCAAAAATAAATCACTTGGGTAAAATGATTTAAATCAGAAATCATTTTTCAAATCATTCTTCATCGAGATTTAAATCAAAAATCACAATTTGATTTGTGATTTTGATTTAAATCGCAAAAAACTCCCCCACCCTGATATTCACAAAAATTGAAAATTTTGTGTGAATATGATAAAAAAATTCTGTAAAACTAATAACTGATAAAACGTCAAATACTTATTAATTAATCCTCTCAAATCTTTGGGCTAATTGCTAAGCGATACTTTTATACAGAAATAACTTCCGAAAGCTCGTTTTATATTCTTAGAAGAGTAACTAGTGTATCGGGTAGAAACCCAATGCGGATATATTCACACCGTTCCATCAAAAGTCTTATGGATAGACCAAGATTTGCTCAGCATAAGTTTGAAGGGTGGGCGTGAAGTACGGCCGAGACCCATATCGACACAGTTCAAAAGTTATACCTAATATATGTCATAATTATGTCAGCTACAAAAACACTTAGTTTGAATTTTGTCACCCTCGGGAACACTATGAACCAGTATAGCTGATTTTGGTCCAAATCTCGGCCATACTTCACACTTATTTGAACCACATTTTCTCGTAAATGTTAAAATATTATTAAAAAGTAATTAATCCTGAATTATGTCGCTATTTTGTCAAAAGTTTTTAGATAAAGAATTTGTTTTTTGATTTCCACAGTGAAGAGTATGAACAAAATTCAAATGGGGTAGTCGAAATTTTAGATTTCGATTTTTTTAAGCTATGCATTACAAAAAGCAATATTTGTATGTGATTTATGTCAAAATTATGTCAATTCAAATAAAACATCCAAAAAATTTTTTTGACAAAAGTACACCATAGAAAATCAATTTTCAATTTTGGACTAGGGGCGACCCTAGTCAATATCAATTTTGTCACTTTTTTCTTCGAGGGTTTATCCAAATGGATTGAAACTTTGCATAAATATTCTAATGCTTAAAACAAATACAAATAAAACATCCTAAAATTTTTTTGAGCAAAGAACCAAGAAGGAAATACATTTTCGATTTTGGACTAGGGGCGACCCTAGTCAAAATCTAGTTTTTCACTTTTTTCTTCGAGGGTTTATCCAAATGGATTGAAACTTTGCATAAATGTTCTAGTGCTCAAAACAAATACAAATAAAACATCCTAAAAATTTTTTGAGCAAAGAACCAAGTAGGAAATTCACTTTCAATTTTGGACTAGGGGTGACCCTAGTCAAAATCAATTTTGTCACTTTTTTCTTCGAGGGTTTATCCAAATGGATTGAAACTTTGCATAAATATTCTAGTGTTTACAACAAATACAAATACAACATCCTAAAAATTTTTTTGAGCAATGAACCAAGTAGGAAATACATTTTCAATTTTGGACTAGGGGCGACCCTAGTCAAAATCAAGTTTGTCACTTTTTTCTTCGAGGGTT